ATCACCCAAAGAGAATTCAGGTAACAATGTCAAGATATCGTAATATTGCTTAATACTTTGTCTGTGGTATTCGCCACTCACGAGTGACCATGGATCTGTGTTCTAAATTTTATGTTTTAGCTGCTGATGGCGGCGCAGCATCTGTTATGGCTGTACAGGCCCACACGAGGGTGACAGTCTCGATTGTAACGAATGCATATCAAGGGACCCCCCCCCCACAATCTACGCATATTCCGTATAGATGTGCGGTTTACTATGCAGTTTACTGAATGTGAAAGAATAAGAAAAAAAAAACAATATTATTAATTAGCGAGAACAATGGAAGAGTAATAATGATGACAGTAGATAATAATTGACTTTAAATTGGATTTCAGTGTCACACATTAAAATATTTCCCAGATACTAAAATTTCCGCACTTGTTCGATTAGCAATTCTGTTGCGTCAAGTATTTTCCTCATCTTTGAGGAGTATTTGCCTAGTATTCACTGCCATATAGGAGGACAGATATCATTTAACAGTCCAGTACTCTTTTCTTTGTTTCTAACAAGGTTTTTCTATCTCTTAATACTCTGCTTAGCTTTTGGAAGGCATCTTTTCTTCATCGGATTTCATTATCAGACATTCTGCCCTCTTTTAGAACACTTCATAGATATTTAAATTTCCGCGCTTGTTTGATTTAGGTATCTCCGATTTTCAATGCGCACTTAGGTCTCATCCTTTTGCTAACAACCAGACATTTTGTTTTCTTGTAATTAATGCTTAGTCCTTTCTTCTCGCTTTCCTTCAGTACTTTTTGCAGCAGCTTTTAGTTTTCTTTGCGTGTCTACTGGCAACATTGTGTCATCTGTATATGTCACTGTGCCTTTATATGTAGACCATCTTAACCCATCACCCAAAGAGAATTCAGGAAACAAAACCAGTATACGATATATCAGTAAATACTGTGTGTGGTATTCGTCGGTCTCAAGAGACCATGGATCTGTGTCTTAAATTTTATGCTTTAGCTGATGATGGGGACGCAGCATCTGTTGTGGCTGTACAGGCCCGCATGAGGGTGACAGTCTCGACTGCAACGAATGCATGTGAAGGGACTCACCCCACCCCATAATGTCACCATGTGGTTTTCTTTCTTTCGAGCATGCTTCATCACGGTGGCAAGCCTCCGTTTCTCCTCTCCTTGCTTCAGTCCTCGCTGTAAATTGCGCCTCCAGCGTGAGAGATCGTTGGTGACATCTTCCCATCTCTCACTGTCCATGTCCATCACCGTCATGTCTCTTTTGCAGGCATCCTTGAAGAGAAGATGAGGTCACCCTCGTGCCCGCTTGACGATGGACAGTTCCCCCGTACAGAAATTTTTCTGAATCCATCCGTCAGTAGACTGTTGCTTCATGTGTCTTGACGTCGCGGTGGGGAGACGCTGGAGTCCTCTCACTGTCCATGTCCATCACCCTTTTGCTAGCAGCCGGACATTCTGTCTTCTTGTAGCTGATGCTTAGTCCTTTCTTCTCGCTTTCCTTCACTACCTTCTGTAGAAGATTTTTGTAGTTTTAGTGGCTTTTAGTGACCCTTTTAGATTATTTGAGTGGAATTAATCAGAATAATTTCTTAATTTTTATCTATAAAGTATAAATATTCTAGTCACACAGGAAAATATTTTACTTCTTTAGTGATCACGAGTTCCATAACCCGTTAGGGTCTAAGGGCAACCAAATGTACTCCTGCTGTTGCAGCAGTGATATTTTCTAGGTAAAATACCCTGACAAAGACCAGCTCTCTTCAGGTTGGTTGGAATTCAACGTTTTCCTTCTCATAGGCTGGTTGCCACTGAAGGCTATAAGACCCAGTCCGTCTTAGTATTTTAACCTTAACTAGGGGTGTGGAGGGGAGATGAATTCATACTTAATCAGAATTTGATAAGCAAACTAGAAATCATAATGTGCACATAAAGTGGGAGATCAATTTTATATTACAATCAATAGACAATCTGGTCCCTCAATTTATGGCCACTGTAGTTTCTATAGTACAGCAGTTGCACATAAGTGAATATCATGAATACCTGTAATCCTTGTAATGAACTCGACTGGAATTTGAACTCGGCTGGAATTTGAACTCGGCAATCACTCAGATTACTCAATCGAAGCCGGGTGTCCCTTTCTCTTCATTTACCAATAATCCACTTTCAAAATTTCTCCCCTTAAGAGACACGTAGAAAGGATAGGATTTTCTTTCCAACAGAAGAAAGTACCTCCGACATGCACAAGATTTTAGCAATTATTTATGGGGTGACTGCATATGAGGTAAACTCCGTAAGAAGTTGGGTCAATAGATTTAATTGCATATTTTGAAGACTACATTCGGAACCCTGAAACATTTCCTTTTCATTTTCACCTGCTTCTGATATTAAATCTGTCATAATTAAAAAAAACAAGTTTTAATCGGATCCAGGGCAACAACTGAGAAGGAAGGAGATTATACTGAGAAACAGATTATTTGGTTATTGTCCGATAAGAAATTGTTTATTGAATTCGACTGCAAGGCTTTAATTGCACATTAACACTTCAAAATATACAAACATACACGCAAACACATATATTTA